CTCGCTCACGGAGCCTTTATCCGGAGGCCTCTTTAATCTCCCCCTCTCTCTCTGCTGGGCAAGGCTTCGCGAGTTTCCGACCAGAAGGAGTTTTAGCTTCCAAACCGTCCCCTCCCTGGCCCATTTCTTTCCATTCAACTGGGGACTGGTTGAACCTTTTTCTTTTCCAAGAATGCTCTTACACAACGCAGCAAGCACATCCAAAACAAGCGCTCAGTATTGTTAGGCATTTTAATAAGCAACTAAACAACCCCTGCCTCCTTGGGACATGGTTTTAGGATGTTGGACATATGCTGTAAGAAAGGCAATCGAGAAACCTGGCTTCAAAAATTGTTGCCCTGTGATGCCCTGTTTTCCCATTTAAAGATCAGGACAATAACAGTTTTGGAAGTAAATAGGCAGGCCAAGAAAATTCTTTATCCTTTAAAGGCATGCATGCACTGCACAATTTATTTTATTGTCATACCTTGAAGATACATCATGGTTCATTTTTGAGATCTGAGTAGGACACATTTTTTTTTTTTAAAAAAGTCTAATTGTAATAATCTGCAAACATTTGCAGTCACAAGACCTCTCGCTTGAAGAAATCTCATTAATCTGCTTTTACAACAAATACAAAGTTATGCACAAAAGCAAACAAACTTGTCTAGCTGAAAAAGCTTACAATATATGCTTGTTGACAATAATTTTCAATAGCAATAGCACTTAGATTGATATACTGCTTCATAGTGCTTTGCAGCCCTCTCTAAGTGACTCACAAGAGTCAGCATATTGACCCCAACAATCTGGGATCCTTGGAAGGATGGGTCAACCTTGAGCTGATGAGAATTGAACTCCTGGTGGTTGGCAGAATTAGCCTGAAATACTGCATTCCTAACCACTGTGCCACCACAGCTGTTCAGAACTTGAAAGTCATAATTTCAAGTATAACAATGTCCTTGGTGGCATGAAAATTACTCTTTCAGATGCAGAAGATATTTTGAGCAAAAATTAGGACACATTTGTAAAGTAAGGAAATATTTATTCCATGAATAGCAATTACAAGTAGGCTCCATCTCAATTGTTACTTGTTTATATTAGTAATTTAAAAGCTACTTTTTTATCCACCATGAAGGAAGAACTTGAGAGTTCTACCAAACCATTTGAAAGGCATGTGTATGCCTTTAACAGAGCTACAAGTTTTGATGAGGAAAATAGTGGCAGCACAAGCTATAACAAATTGCAGAATGTGCATGTGTTTTTGTTTTGAAATGAAAAAAAAAACACAAATGTGTGAAGTCTGGTAAATTGAATGGCATGTATGTAATTAATAATACAATCCAGTACATTTTTCAATGGAGCTTACTTGATGGCAAGAATAGAACTGCATTATAGTATAAATATGTTTTTAAAATTATATATCTTTAATAAATATGAAGGAGGAGGAAAGGAATGAGGAGTTAATGCTGATGTTACTAGCTTGAATAAGCATTTTCTTAAAGTATTTGTTCAGCCATTGTTCAACTTTACAATGGTGATGAAGGATGGTTATCACCAGTCCTCAAGATCTGGCCATACCAGCTCCCTTGCAGTCACATGATCACCATCTGGGCACTTGGGAATTGGCTCACACGATTGCGGCATCCTGTAATCACATGGTCACAATTTTGTTTTATACTGCCATTTTTTAATATAAATAACTCAGCATGATGAATGCACACAATTCTACTTCCTCCTCCTATTTTCCCCTCAACAACAATCGTGTGAGAAGCAGTAGTAATAGCAAATGCCAGAATTTTAATTTTAAATAGGGTAAATATTGATAAATATAACCTCTTTGGGGGGGATCCTCCATAATTTTTTAAAATAAGAAGTGGTTTTGAAAGAAAAAGTTTAAAACGCACCTAAAGGCAGGACAAGAAGCAATGGATGGAAACTAGAACTAAGGAGAAATTTCCTGACAGTTAGAATAATTAATCAGTGGAATGACTTGCTTCCAGAAGTTGTGAATGCTCCAACACTGGAGCTTTTTAAGAAGAGACTAGATAACCATTTGTCCGAAATAGTTTAGTTTCCTGCTTAAACGGGGATTGGACTAGAAGATCTCCCTTCCAACTTTGTTGTTCTGTTAAACACTTTAATAGAGCACTCTTCATAACTTTGTTAAGTTGCAGAATAGATTGCAAGTGTAGTTCCCAGAATACCAAACCAATATGTAACTAGTTGCAGCAGAATGACTGGTGTGTGCAGGAAATGGTTCTCTTGCTTTTTGGGTTATATTAGCTACAGCCTCCATTTTCTTTGAAATAATAATAAAAAAATAAGATGGTTGCGTTGCATCTTGCCACTTTGTCATAACGCTAAAACATTGTTTAAAACTTTTATTAAACCTATTATTTGCTTGTGCAATTTTTAAGCCATTGCCTGTTACTTACAAATCAGAATGATTGGGTTGACACAATGTGCTAAACAAACGAATCATATTATGACTTAATGTGATGTATTTACCCAAACATTCTAAGTTTCCTGGCTACTTGAGAGACCGCCTCCTGCCAATTACCTCCCTGAGGCCTATAAGATCGCACAGATTAGGCGTCCTCCGGATTCCATCTGCCGGTCAATGTCGGCTGGCAACTCCCCGGGGGAGGGCCTTCTCTGTTGCTGCTCCGGCCCTATCGAACGATCTCCCTGCGGAGATCCGGACCCTTACTACCGTTCCGGCTTTCCGCAAAGCGACCAAGACCTGGCTGTTCCGGCAGGTCTCGGGCTGTTGACTTTGTCCAGCCCCATCCTAAGTTGTGAATATTGTGG